TCCCTTTTAAAGCCTCTATCATCTTCATGAGATGGGATTTTAGGTCATAATCTTTCTTTTCAGGCATGTTAGGGTATTTAGGGCTTGCTGTGATGGGAAGACTAGGTTCTAATAGTCCCAGATTACGTTGGCTTCTGTTATCTTCTTGTGCTTGCCTCTTGTCATCTGATTATCTCTGGTGTTTACTGGTCTTCTGAAGCTCCTCAACAGGTGACTGCATTGAGACACGGTGACCTATTTCTTGGCCATGGATAGTTTCTTAGTCATTGCTCTATTGCTGAGAAGAGACAGCCTGACTAAGGCAACTCTTATAAAAGAAAGTGTTCAACTGGGGGCTTGTTTACAGTTTCAGAAGTTTAGTCCATTATTACCATCACAGGGAACATGGAGACATTCAAGTGTGGAGAAATAGTTGAGAGCTTCATCTTGAACTGTAGTCCTAGAGAGAGATTCTAGGCTTAGCATGATTTTTGAAACCTCAAAGCCTACCCCCAGTTACTCACTTCCTCCAACAAGGCCACTCCTAATTGTTTTCACATAGTGCCACTCCCTAATGACTAAGCACTCAAATACTTGAACCAATAGGAACCAAACCATTCTTATTCAAACAACAATAAGTGGACATCTGTAGTTGCCCCCTCCAAACCTCAGGGGTCATTGCTGAAGAGGGAGCAGAAAGAATGTAAAAGAGAGAGGAAGGGGTGGAGTCTATTGTAACAGTTTCCTCTGAAATTGACACATTTTATCCAGCAGAGATGCTCCCTTAGCAGTAAGGTAAACAACTCGCAATAGTTTTAGGAGGTCACTGAAACTAACCAGATTGAATAAGATCTGCCCTCCAAGAGTGTACAAGCCAATCAGCAAAGAAGACTCTGAGACAGGAGTACTTCCTGTAAAATGTTTAGATGGGAATCATTTAGTAAGAGCACTCTGTAACCTGTTGAGCTCAATGCTGGGCTGTGCAGTATGTTCCTGGTTTCCAGCTTTTGTCACCCATGCTGATTTGGGCTTTCGTGATATAATTGCCATTGAGTCATTTCTGCTCCTGCAAGTAACCCTTTCAAATACATTGCTTCACAAAGTTGAACTTTGGTGGTATCCATACTATGATCTACTGGGGGATCCATATATGAGTTGAAGAGATGTGTGTTTGTTGTGTTTCCCCAGGATGGAGGAAATCATCATTAAGTCAATTTCCCATACAATTGTAATAAAAACCCCAAAGTTACCAATGGAATAAATATGTTACACATGTCATATTCACTAGGCCCCTTCCCTGCCAGAATAAGTTATCAAAGCTGAGTCCTTCTCTGACACAGCAGAGTCAAACTGCAAAAAAAGATTCTCAGAAAGCTTTCTCTAGTAGATGATGGGAGTAGATACAAAGACCAACAGACAAACATAATGTGCAACTAGGGGAACCCCAAGGAATGGGGTCAAGGTAAGGCTATAGGAGGCAGAGGAACTGAGGACATCAGGAGAACATTGCTGACAGAATCAACTAAACTGGCAGGGTTCATAGAGTTCAAAGAGACTGAAGCGGCAATCATTGAGCCTGCATGGGTCTACTCTAGGCCCTCTGCATACATCCTTTGGTTGTTAAGCTTACGGTTTTTGTGGAGTTCCTAACAGAGGGAGTATGAGAAATATTTGATTCTTTTGTCTGCCCTTAGGACCATTTTCCTCTTACCTAGTTGCCTCTTTTAGCCTTGATCTGAGGATTTGTCTTAGTGCATCTGGTTATGCTGAGTTTGGTCAATATCCTTGAGAGGCCTGCTTTTTTTCTGAAGGAATATGAAGAAGCAGTGAATCTTAAGAAGATGAAAAATGGGAGTGAGGGAGGCTAGGAGGCCTTAACAGACAGAGAGAAGATTTGTATAAGAGAAGAACACATTAAAAATGAATAAATAAAAAACAAGACTCTCAGACCAGACCAGCTGCCTGGTAAAAGCTGGAACCAGAAGAGGAGGTTTAGATCAACAAAAGCACCTGGAAAGGACACTGTTGAGCTGCCTGAAGGCTGTGTAGTATGCTCCAGGTTTTAAGATTTGTGAGCTGTCACCCATTCTGGAGTGAGCTTTGGTGATGAAGGTCTCTTTGAGTCGTTTTTCCTCCTGTAAGTAACCCCAATAAAGCTCACAGATTTGGACTTTGGTAGTATCTGTACTTTGATCTGTTATGAGATCCTTATCTGGATTGATTAGATATGTGTGTTGGGTCTCTCCAAGAAAAAAAAATGTCATATGACACATGAGAATAGCCTCACTGTCCTTTTTTAGGAGACAGTCTCACACTGGATGTCTTAGTCCTCTGTCTCTTACAGTATTTCTGCCCCCTCTTCTGAGATATTGTATCTACTGGGCCTGGGCTCCCCACAATCACTTGATCTCTGCACTATGACCAGTCGATACTATATAATTGTTTTTATTTCTTACAAAAAGAAGCTTTCCTAATGTCTGTGGGGGAGTAAGAGGTACATTTATCTATAGGTATGAGGATACATTTTTAGAATTCAGGAGCTAGGACTTATATTGCTCTAGGAAAGTGGGGGTAATAGGTTCTCCTCTGAGAGCTATGACCTTTCTTACCCTAGGTGGTTGGCAAGGTTCCTAGTATGATATATAATTTCCCTCTTGTTGAATGGGCTTTAAGACCAGTTAGACTGTTGCTGATACCATCAGATATGAGTGTCACTATTGTACCTTTAGGGATATTATGACATGTTGTTCATTTTTGTGGTTCATATGTTCCACAGCTGGCTAGTCAGGTCTATTTATTGTTTCCCTCCCTGGGCAGATGGTACAATGAAAGCTAGCCCACAGGAAGGAAGCTTTCAGATTGGATCTAGATTTTCAGATTAGATCTGAGCCCTGTGTCCAAAGTGCGTGGTACCTTTAGCAATCGGGGTACTTCAGCCTCTGGGAGGCAACCAAGGGTCCCAGCAATAAATATCCTGTATCATTTTAAGAGTCGTGTAGACTACCCTGACCAATTTAAATGGAAGGTTCTCCTGTCTTGTACTGAACATTTTGTCAGATAGTCTATGGGTCTTGTGGGGAGAACTGTCAGCTGAAATGGCATAGCTTATATATACTATTTATAGTTTGAGAAAATACAAAGTAATACAATTCTTTTAGAATTTTATTACTTGGAGCTTAAGCTGTAAGGTTATTTCCATGCACACAGAGGAGAATGTGCAAGTCTCACCCTGCAGCCCCTTGAAAAGAAAGTAAGAGGAAAGAAAGAAAGTTTTAAGTATCAAAAATATATCTGTAGGGTGCTATGGAGATGGTTCAGTGGGAAAAGTGCTTGCTTGTACAAGCATGAGGACCTGAGTTTGGATCCCCGAAACCCATGTAAAAGTGACTGTGCATGTGTGTAACTCCAATCCTGGGGGCTCAGAGACAAGGGGTCACTGGCCACATGGTCTATTCTAAATGCTGAACCAAGCTTCAATGAAAGATCCCAACTCAAAACTTATGTGTACAGTGATAGAAGAAGACACCCAACATTAACTTTTTGCCTTCGTATGTACACAGATGGATGAACACATGTACAACAGACACACACACACACCTTATGAAAACACAAAACCCTCTGGTATTTCCTAATTAGTGATTATTTTCACTGTGGGGGCTCTGCCTACCTACTTGTCTCCTACATGTTATCTACATATTTCAAACACTAAGGTAGGTATGTGTGTGTTCTTTTGTTTTTAAATGCAAGTAGATAGCAAAAATAGATCCATTTAATTGTACTGTTGAATTCATATGGACCTTTTAAAAACCTGTTTTTATTGGCACACTTACTAAGAGTACCATCATTCATTCAGTCCTCATCTGATGCTTCTTTTGCAGTAGATGTAGACTATTCCAGGAAGACATAACCAGTCAAATACAGAGACCAACTGATCTTGAGGTGTTCAACCTCAATTGACACATCTGTAACACAAGGCATAGGAAACTTACTTAAGGCTCAGAAAACTTCACAGAAGAGGGAGTGGAAAGAGTGTAAAAGCCAGAGGACCAGGAAGTCTGCTGCAAGATAGTGTCTTTTAGATATACGGGAAGGGCACCTTCATGAAACCTCAATAATGGCTTGTTACCTTCGCAAGACCTGAATGGTGACGAATTCAGTTGAGATGCTAAAGTTCATGGAGGAAATCTTAGAGGCCCCCACAGAAGATGAAATACTAAGGATAGATAAGGACTGCTGAAGTTAACTTGTTTCTTTTGATCATAGTACTTTCCCACTCCTCCACACACATCCCTGATCAATTTCACATGTGTACTGTATTTGCGTTATTTCTCCCAACTCCCTCTTTTCCCTAGAACTCCTCCTATGTCCACATACACAGCTCCATCTCAAACTCATGGCTGATTATTCTTTAACTATTATTGCCACACACACACCTATAAACACACACATTCCTACACACTCACATACATATACACTCCTACACATACACCTCTAAACACAAACGCATATACACTCCTACATGCACACCCTTACACACACACACACGCACACACACACACACTTGAAGGTACAACCTACTGAGATTGTTTAGTGGTGTGTGTGTGTGAGTGTGTGTGTGTGTAGATGTGTCTGTCTGTGTCTATGTTTGTCTATGTGTGCTAAAAGCTAACTACCTTGCATCACATATCTAATTAGGGAGCTCACCATGGGAAAGTCTAATTCTCATATTCAGCTTGGTTTTCATTGCTCTTTTTCCATTGGTAGATAGCACAGAGTAATACCAAATGTAGAGGCACTCTTGTCTGGAAGCAGGATTCACTGAGGCACAAAGGAGATTCTCACTCCACTGCTCATGGAGATACCTACATAAAACTAAATGAAACCACCAGCAGCAGCCCTGAAAAAACAAATTGGCAGGCTCTTTAAAGAGCCAGTGAAGGTAGTTTTGCATAGGAAAGCCACATAACTGAGAAACAGGCATATCATTTGAGTCTGAGCTCCTTATGGTAAATAACAGGAGCTGGCAGACATAAGCAGAAAGACAGTTGGTTTGGGTCACTTGGTCATCTTCAACGGACTTCAGAGCCTCGTACCAGCTTAGTCACTGTGTTATCTTGCCAACCCCTATGTTGTTATACACATGCGGAATCTGTTTTGTCATATCTTGGGTAAGAAAATTATTGATGACTTGGGAGGGATGTATCATTTTTGAATAAAGCTTTCTCAAAAGGATATTAAAAAGGAGGCAATATTTATGTAGCTTAAGACTGTTTTCCTTTGGAGGAAAATTGAGACGAACTGCTAACAGCGTAATTACTTGAATTAAGGAAGTAAGAAGCCATTGCACTGACTTTGAAAGACTTTTTTTTTTTCTTTTTTTTAACTTCCTGCAAAGAGGACCCTTTACAGTATTTTTGGAGAAGTTAGTAAAACCGAATCTGACATCACCATTTGCCAGTGCATGTAGCTAGCAAGTGGTTTGTTCTTAGGGTAGCAGAGAAGGAAACTTGCTCCCCATCTGATAAGACAGGGTGCAAAGTATGCCTTCATTTCTTTTAGTTTTGACTTAGCTTTACAGAGACAAACTTCGAGAGAGATAACCATTGTTTTGCCTTCCAGGGAGACCCTATTTCTTAGGGGCACAGCTGATCTCTAGATATGACCATGTATTTGTGGCCCAAGCTTCTGGTCTTTGGCTTTGCCTTTCTGGTCACAGAAGTCTTTGTCTCAGGTAAGCACATCTATATTTATTTTTTTACTTCCTTGTATTTTGTTTATTTTGCGGCAAAGGCTAGTCTGAAATGGATGTTTTAAAAAGTTGCCTGGGATGGATATTGAAAGTAAGATCTGCTACTCCATGTTCAAGCTTGCTGTAGCTCAGAGAAACAAGGCCTACCGGAGAGCAGCATACACTGTTTCTGTTAAAAATACATAAAAATTTCCAGGGAAGATCACAGTTTAATAGGGAAGTTGCTTCTTTCTCTGTTTGCAAACCGTTGAGGGATGTTCCTAAAGCAATTGATCTGGACCCGCATCTGCCACAGTTAAGAGGAATTGTTAACTAAGTCGGTGTTTACTGCTTTTGATCAAAATATGAAGGGTTTAAAATCATGAGACAGCTTTGGTTGTGTGTAAGTCAGTCTCTTCAGATGAGGGCTTGTTTCCTCAAATGTTAATGATTATTAAAATAGGGTTTTGAATGCTCGGCTACAGAAAAACTGAAAAGTGCATTAGGTCCTTTAAAAAAAATTGTCCATTGTTCTCCCACAGAATGTTTTGAATTAATTATTTTATTTCTGTGATAACGGTTCTTACAAGTTCTGCCGTGGAAATTCTAGTAGAGCCACCGCCTTTCCTGGGTGATGGGTACATAGCACATCCTTGAAAAGGTAGAAGGGTTACAATCTGTAAAATTCACACAAATGCTGTGTCCATCAGGATAGGGTGACCAGGCAGGTACTGCTTACTGAAGTTCAAGGCCTTCTCACACTTCTGGTCTGGTCAATAAATATTTCTTGAGTAGTTTCAGTTTGAGTCATGGGTCTGGTTGGTTATCAAGTAATAGATGGCATTTCTCCTTATAGTGTTTAATCTAAGATACTTTTAAATAGAGAAAATAATTAAGCTTATCAGAACTCAATTTTAGTTTTTCTGATGTTTATTTCCCAAGAAACACTGGGTACTAAAATGGCTAATGTATACTTTGCATCATCTGTGGGCCTGGAAAAGAAGTGCAGTCTCAGCTACTAGTTTACTGATATTATCACAATAAGTTTATTTTGCTTTTTAATTGGAAAGATGGATTTTTAAAAAATCCACTTAGGTAAGTTGTGAACTTGCTTGGATGGGGTTTCCGGCATACAGATGATTTTAAACAATACATATAGCCACAGAATCTTGTCATAATGCACAACCTACTTCCCATGTCATCAGCCCTCTATGATTTTTGTTATAATGTAAAGAGAATTATGGCAAAGAATTGAAGGTTGTACATACGTATTTTATCATACATTGGCACATTTCCCCTCTAAGTCCCCCCCACCTGGGCAAGTTCCTGATTTTTTTAAAAATGGGTGTGAAAGAACATTGAGGTACCCTCAGGTCATAGAGCAAGTCACTCCTGAATTATAAATCAGGCTATTGATATTTTTTTTTGTACAAGAAGCATCTTTGAATTCATCATAACAATGTTTATAATAAGTTCTAGAAATCTTTAGATCAACTTTCCTAAATACTTAATTCTAAAATATAGATAGATTATTAATAAATATGTAGATAATGGATAGGTGATAAATTGCTGACAGATAGAATGGTTTCATAAAGACCAAGTTTAGATGGAGGGACCCCTCATTTATCAATCATATATCATTGCTCCCATAATACTGAGGGTAAACATTTTTCTACAGGACGCTGATAGTTTTCCTTAATGTGTACTTACTGTTGGAAACACACACATAATCACCTGTATTTGAAAATGGTGTTTAGCATTTCAGGACACATTTTTATTTAGTGTTGAGAACTTATTAAGGCTTTAAATTATGTACTTCATTAAGCAACACATGACTCAGATCCTACATTTTATTTTCATGTGATAAATTAATGTGGTATCTACAGGAAATACACTTTTGGGGAGCAACTTTTTGCTATATTGTTTAGGAAAATAAAGAAGTACAGTAAAACATTAACGACACATCCATGGAAAGTACACACCACTCCAGCATTTTATCTAGCTTATGAAATCCACATGGGACCAAAGTCAAATTTAAGGTCTTCCTGGGCAACTGTGTTGCTGTATTCTCGATTTATAGGATGTCTCTGATCTTGCTGTTTTATGCCTCTTTGCCGGGACAGTTGGACTATGAATGCTTGTTTAAAAGTTACAACTAGTAATTCTAGGGCACCATGAGAGAATGGAGAGCACAGGCAAGAGTTCAGATTTTCTACCTCTAGTAAAGTTTAACATTAGGCCTATCCACCATCCCCACCACCTAATGGCTGAAAATGTCTTTCGTTGGGCCCTGAACAGAGTGCAGTGAGCTAGGTTCTAAGTCTTAACAGCGAGAACTCCTTTCCTGAGCACAATTCTTAATGTTTCCATCACCATGAAAATAATCTCAAGTCACAAATATGTACTTGGCCTTGCACATCGTAAAATTTTGATATAAATTATTTGTCAAATTTGACAAGCACTCCTATTATGTTCTAAAAATATCAGGAGAGATAGGCTGTGAGGGTGAGGTGTTACTACTTGATTTTTTTTTTTAAACAGCGAACATGTTTTCTGTGACCTTTGTCATTGCTAGAATTTGAAAAGTACTTTGTTAGAGGAAAGCAAAGGCTAGTTAGAAATGAGGGGTCCCTTCATCTTGCCCGACACTCTGAACACAGGTGAAGTGCAGGCAGCTGCCTTCTCCATTCAATTTGGTGTCTTACCAACAGTGACAGGCAGTGAGTGCAGCATGCGCTCGTTTCTGCATTGTTCATGTGCACATGCATACCTACATGCAGATTTGCAGACATGACACATATATGTAGTGCTTGGTTTACACATTATGGTCATCTGGTACGTCCGTGTCTACTGGATCTCCACACACACGCTCCCCTGTTCACTCCTGAGGGTCTGTGAACACATGCCCTTTGCAAGGCTCATTTCCCTTTGGTCTAGATTGATTCCTCTCTGTGTTCTTGCTCTTCCCACCTCCATCCTAATCCTTCAGAAACTGGAAAGCCCCTTTCCTATGTGCACATGCTCCACAGACAGCTAAACAAAGAAAACCAAAACCAAAAAACTGCTCCCGTATCTCTGTTGAGATCAGCCCAGTTCTAGGCCTCATTATCTTCTGTCTGCAGCACTGTGACAGTTTGAGTCTCATTCTTTCTTTATATAACTGAAAGGATTAAAATGGCTGGGTGGGGGGTGGGCACTCCTGAGATTTCCTCATCAGCTACAATCTTCATTTTAAAAGGCCAGCATGTATTCACTGTACACAAAGGCAAACAGCAGTGCTGGTCTGACTTCCCTCTCCTCCTTGTCTCTTCTCACACTCCCCTTCTTGAACGGCCTTCCCTTCCCTTCCCCTCCCTCCATCCCCCACTCCCTTCCCCTTCACTTCTCTTTTCTTCTTTCTTTTTTTTTCCTTTTCTCCATGACTGATTCAAAGAGAACAAGTGAGATGTGGTTTCAACATCCAGTCCTCCTACATCCCCCAGGTCTCTAAGGTTCTCCACAAAAATCCTGTCTCCCTCTTTGACATTTTCTACCACCTTTCCCTGGAATCTGTCAAGAATTATTTCAATTACTGTGGTGATGATGATGATGCTGCTGTTGGTGATGATGATGGTGATGGTGATGGTGATGAAGATGAAGATGAAAATAAATGAACGTGTAGTTTTACTCCCTGTCCTCCACATGGAAGCAGAAAATTTATTGTGTCTTTCTGAAATAATGTATCTGATTTTAAACCTGAGTTCCGGTGTTTTATGGGTATCTAGTGGAACTCCTTCATGAAACTGTAGATAATGGTGATGGCAATAGAGGAGGAACAGGGGAGGAGATGAGAGAAAGGAGAGGAGGAGGAGGATGGGAAGGGGGAAGCTCCGAGGCCAGAAAGAGAAAATGAGTAAACAAAAACTATCAAAAGGCAGATTGGGAGAGCAGAGACAGATAAATTTATGTAAATTTATTTTTAATTACTGTTTACAGTTTGTTTATTTTTTGTTATTTATCTCTTTTATACCTATCTCATTTGGGGAGGAAAGATTGATATTCCTAACTTCTTAAAAATTCATGGCTTGAGAATATTTTCCTTAATTCTTCCTTGAAGGGCTCTTGCTAATGTCTTGGTGGGGAGCTCAGATACAGATGCTGGGGGCGGGGGAGTCAGGAAGACAAAGGGAAGCGTAGCGCAGACCTTGCAAGCACTGGTTTGGAAGCTCAGTTGCTGGTCTTAGGCTCCCTTCAAAGGTGGGTGGAAGATTTTCCATCACCGTACACAGTATTCTTTCTAGTCATCATACTATTAAATTATTTATACAGAAAGAAACTGTGATAGACTCCATTTCTGCCCAGGCTTAAGTTATGTATCTTTTTCCGTACTAGATTCCCAACCCCAGAGAGGTCGCCTGTCAGTGAAGGATTAAGAATGGCTTCTGCTCACACATAGATAGAGGTTTTTAGAGATGAGACAAAATAAAAAATTAAGCATTTCAGATTATTCACTTAGCAACATCATATGATATCTATTAATATATAATATCCAAATATAAAAAATAAAAATTATACTGGTTACTGAGTTTTGTGTACATAGCCTTAGCTAATATGTAGATTTTAAAACATCTAATTATTATTGAAAGACTTGAATACATTCCACTTATATGTTGCTGGCTTACTTCTATTTCTATCTATCATTAAACCCTTAGAGATGACAATTAGAAGCAGAAAATTACATGTTTTGGCACCACACAAAAAAGACAAAGATTACATCGAAATAATATGTCTCCTCCCCTCTTATCAAGGACTACAACAAATGTATATAAAGCTGATGTGTGATAAAAAAAATAAGAATCTTCCGTGTCTAATCAGAATTCTGTCAACTGATTTCTTTGTGAAAGATAATAAACAAGATTTTCAATATTTTTTACTTAAGTTTTTATTTCAGACGCAAACTCAAACAGATGGGATTGTGTTTTCTGGCACTTAGTTCTATAATATGTGTAAAACATTTATTTCCT